TTCAGGAATGGATTTTAGGTAAGAACAATATCTTATAGTTACAAACAGCGGTCAGCCACTCCTTTCTAGGTAGGAGAAACCAGGCTAATTGCTGCATTCCCCACCAACCGGTGAGGGCGTGCAAGGCGATGGGGTCGCTACATCCCTACGCCTTAAATCATCATCATCATCATCATCATCACCACCACCACCATCACCTTCTAAATAATTTGTGAACACCAATTCCTTGAAACACACTGAAAATACTCAAAGCAATTTTATTGTATTTGATGGAGTAAAGGACTTTAATTTTGTTTGACTCATAGTAACTTAATACTTTCCCTTTCAAGACTTCCCCAAATTTGTAAGATTCGTAACTGCACTATTACTTTAATAACTGAAATTAATTTAAGGAAGTAATAGAAAATATTCTGAAATAGTCATTTCTGTATTATACCAATACATTTTGTCAAAGGAAATAGACAAACGGAATGGCTACCATACTATAGGGAGTTTTCTAACAACGTTTGTTATGGAAAGATTGCACTCTCAAAAGGACAGTAATTTACTTTTGAAATTATTTTAAATGCATAGGCTCCTTAAAAGTTCACAAACATGTTGATTTGTACTGGAGGCACAACCAGAATTTTTTGTCGTACACGTTCCCAAGTGTAAAGTCCTACTTGATGTTTTCTTATAAAGAATTTGTATTTGTAGACTCGCAGTTGATAATTATAACATAAACGCTTGATATAATGAATGACTTTCAGCAGCAAAGAAAATTAGTCAAGCTGTATTTTTTAAAACGTACATCATTGGTTTTAGGAAGGCAAGGAGCCCCATAAGGTGACTCTTGTGGTAATGATTTCGACCATTTTAATTCTAATTCATTTAATTACTTTCTGCAGATTAAAAACAATAAAATGATTAGGATTTGCCTTTTGTATAAAAACACATGCTTGGCAGCCTTTTCAGTTCCTAAATGAGTTCCTTCAGGTAAATCATGCACCACCCTGGAAGAAGAGGATATTGCTTCACCACACTCTTACGCTCAGCCATTGCCTACTAGTATGCAGGCAAGTGGACTATGGTAAACCGAGGCTGTCAGTTTTTTCTTGCACACATCTCACACTTTTTTGTGCTACATTTTAAACGAATGGTGTCTTTAGTATAGTTTTTGAAAATTCTCTCCATGACTCTGAGGCAGAAAGTTTTTTCTTGCACACTTCTCACACTTTTTTGTTCTACATTTTAAATGTATGGTGTCTTTAGTATAGTTTTTGAAAATTCTCTCCATGACTCCAGATATGTGAAATGCAGTGTTCATGCTATAGCACTGCACAAGATATTTACAGCTGAAATATTAAGATTAATAAAGTGAAGACTTAGTCCAAAGATTCTCAAAACTGAGAGTTATTAAGATTTAAAAATTAATTGTCATTCACGAATTATATAAATTGAATTTTTATTACAAAAAAGAAATCATGTGTTTTAGAAACTGCAACGATACAAAGAAAGCACCACAGCCTGTCAGCAGTGCCCTGGAAAGCTCATTGACAGACTTGGGGGAACACCAGCTTTCTATATCCATTTAAATACACTGCAGCTTATAATTACAACTTCAGAAAAATATAAATATTAGTTTTGGTGTTAAGTTATTTAATGAATAAATTCAATAACAATCGAATATTTTTTCACCCAACAGTTACCGATTGTCTTTAAAAACAATAATGAGAAATTCAAGCTTTGCAATACTTGTTTGAAAATAACTAAAAGTATATCTTAAAATGTGTACTGCAAGTAAAAAGAGACCACTTACATAGAATAATACACTGTTATGATTAAAACTAACTAGAATTTAAGACACATGATGGACTTAAATATAAAAAATCAGGTTTTTAAAATTAAAAAAATAAATCATGATTTTTAGAAACCCTATTTAACAAGCAGCCGGATAACTAGGCCTCTAATTTTAGAACAAATGCCTATTTAGTTCCTTTAGGAGCTTTGGGAAGAAAAACCGGACAATTGTTTTGCTAATTTAGAAATTGGATAGTAGAAATATTCAACAAATAAAAATATTTTTATAACAGTTTAACCTTTTAGTTACAGAGAGGAGGCTGTTTTCCCAGAGTATTTCGACACAGAGATATTTCTCGCCTGACCTCCAGAGGCAAGTTAGAGCTCTTACTAAGGATGACAAGCTGAGCTGCAGTGATTCCCTTTTGTTGGAGCCCCAACCTATGCAAATCGCAAGGGAAGTTTGATAGAAAAGTATATCAAGGCACAAGCAAAATAAGACAACATAGACCGCTTATATTTGCCTGGAGATGGTGCACTAACACAGAAGATGATGCAGAGGAAGAAAAGTAAAAACAAGAATAAGAAGAGGTGGAAACAGCTTCACACATTGCTTGTAAAATCCCATGGACTTCCTTTAGTTTTAAGAAGTAAGTTTGTATGTAGGCAACTTTTTACCACGTGAAAACAAGAAAAACACCAAAAATATGATGCGTTTGCAAACTACAATTCTTTTATCAGTGACTCGTTTTCGTTTCTGAAATATTGAAGAACAAATAATGGGGAAAAGAACAGTGGAATTTAAAATGAAAAGTGAATGATTAATGACTTTTTTGAATAAATTTAATTTTCATTTGCAATTTGCAACAGAATTTAAAGGTTCATATTACAATCTCCCTTGCACACATTTCTTCAATAATGTACCACTTCAATTTAATTTAGAAGCATTTGTAATACTTAAATGGATCCAAAAGACATATTTTTACGCCCTCATATGGGCAACGGCACATTATTATCGTACTTTAGCTAGCACAGTAAAATTAAAACAAAAAGTAATAAAAACATTAAAAAGAGTACTCCTGTATACAAATTTAATTCACTGCATTATGTAATATTACTTGAAGTGGCATAACATTCCTAGACTTTAAATGTCGTCTTTTCCCCATGCATACATCTCACAAACCTATTTTAGCTTGTTTATACACCTATCATCTCAGAGTGTCCCAGTGCCCGTCAAGTGACATTGTCTTCCTACACAAGAGTAACCCGTCTCAGCCCTTGTCAACACATCTCACTTTCAAAAATCCACTGGAGACAAGCATATTTGTCTATTTAAAAAGTCCATAACTCTGTATCTAAAAGATTAAAGCATCAATGTCACATTCAGATAGTGGGTAATAATTTAAAATTTTCAATGTTCTTTTTTTCATTACAATGAAAACTTCCTTGATGACATTAAATGCACCAACTTTGAAAACAACAAATGTCACAGACTTTCATTCAAGACATCAGTTTCTTCCAATATTTACTTGCAAAAGAGTGTTTTCAAGATGTGTTCTGAATGTTAATTTACTTCTTTCACAGATTGCCAAGAAAACAAAAATGGAATAAACTTTATTTATATACAACTAATGTGAACGTTCAGTTTATAAATTTTTACATTTTTACCTTCAACCCATCTAGAGGCAAAGATCCACCAAACAGAGCAGGTTTATCAGGAAATTCTGCTTGGGCAGCTTGTTGCCAATCAAAAGAATAAACCAAAACTCGGGCTGATGTTTGGATTGGCAACAAAAATAGCAAAGGTAGTAAAGGAACCATGTTGCTGGCAACAGGTGATCAACTCGGCAACAGTCTACAAAATATAATCGGTTAAATAATACACATAAATATAACATTGTAATAAACATTTGTCTTACAGATGAAATGAACAACAATGTTCTTAAGGAAATCTATTTTCTGGTTATTAAAATTAATACAATTCTGAAGCAAACAAATAAAAAGTACCTTCTTGGAAGAGGAAAAAAATTACTCATTACATTTTCACAAATTCTTAGCTTATTCAGAGTAGGCAAAATCAGCCAAGTTTCCTGGCCTCATCTTAAAATATTTTTGACAACCCAATAAACCATTCACTAAATACACCGCAAAACACAAGTCAACCCATACATTTAAAAAAAGAACATGTTGGTAGTATTACGATAGTTCAGGGAAAACCTTGATCATATTTTTGAAATAACAGTATAAGGATAGTCCTTCAGAAAAATTCCTGTTTAAGCCTTCACATATTAAATATCATACTAATAAGGGCAATCTTTCCCTTTGATTGGAAAAGAAAATCTAACTTTTTAGTAGTTAACTATTACACAAAGTGTATTAAAACGAAGAGTTCGTAACTTAATAAAAACAAACCCTCAGTGACATCTCCAAGGTCGACATCTTTCAATTCACAAAATCAAGTGACATGTATTCAGTGTCATATTGAATAAAGAGTTTTTCCTCAGCTATCACTCGGGAATTGAGAGCAAAAGTACTTCATATTGGTAACAACAACTATGGTATTATAACCAAAGTGAATATTAAGTGGGGAAAAAACACACACGGACGCGATTTCAGAATCTCTTTTAACAAAGCAATCTGCTTACCTGCAGGTACTTCAAATTCAGACGTGAATATAATGCCACAATTTCTTCGTTATACACTCATTTTGACGACAATACATGCGCACTATCGTCGATCACAATAGAATGACAGCATTTTAACAATCCAACAATATCGCACAAATTTTCAAGTGAGAGACAACATTACAATCATCGACTGGTTTCTTTATCTCAAGACGAACTTCAATCAGCAAAGTCAATAAGAACTAATCTTTAATTTTTCCTTAAGCTTATTAGTACTGACAAATATCACTTGTGAAACCTCTATGGCGACCGCTAATGACAGACCGTTCAAACATACTAGATTTCTTCGATTATATTTGCTAAATGGCAACCACTAAATAAAATTAATGTCGGTGAATTTAAAAAGAATAATACATCATAATTTGGAATAAAATCTAAAAATGAAATGATATAAGACTATACACCGGAAACGTACAAAATATGACTGGCGCATGCATACCCCCCTCTTCCACTTCAACTTCCCTTCCCTCACGTGTCTATACTGCGTCTTTCCCCGAATTTGTCACCAGTGGGTATGAGACTTAAGCACATGCCTATTTTATTCTTTCGATATAAGCACTGAAACCGTAAGACCACCGGAATTTAAGAATTTCAAGTATCTACAATTTTAAAGGACAAATTTTATAGTGCCTAAAAATGACTTGACTTGAAATGACCAACCTTAAGTTGAAATCTGTGTGAAATAAAAATTTTGGATTTTGGCCGCGCTCTTCAATAGGAGATAAAGAGACATGGTAGATTATTACTATTTCTTATTCCAATATTAAAATCCCCCATGCAAAAGCGTTAATAAGATTTGCTGCATGAAAAAATTTGAGAAACATTCTGTCACAGAATGGCACGGACTTTCCCGTATTAATTTTCTTTTTCTTTTGGTCTCGGCTAGCTATTCGAACTTGCCACATTCTCTTGCCTGCAGCAATCAATTGCGGCCCAAGGTACATTAAAAAAAAATCTTAATTTTACCGGTTTCTTAATTGTAGAACGGAAATATTTTAAGAATATTAAAGAACAGTAAACCTCGTCTTTAATGGCAATTTTCTTTGGAAAATTTGGAATAGTTTTTAAGAAAATGGCGCTTAAGCGTGATTGTAAATTTGACATTTGAATAACTTTTTCACAGAACATTTTCGAGTTTTCGAAATACTTCATTTGAAGGACTTTAACTCCTAAATACATAAGTATTTACAATTCCTGGAAATATTACCGGTGATGTGTGTGTGTGTGATTTAAAAAAAAAACAAAAAACGAAATGAATATTACCACATATTAAAGTGTGCCTTTAAAAAAGTGCGAAGAAAAAATTTGGAGCCGTTTCTTGAGAAAATGGCGTTGAAGCGTTTCTGAAATTGCGGAATTTTGAGGTAGTTTTGATAGAAAACAGTTAAGTTTTCGAGAAGCTTTATGACATGTACTTAAAGCACATGTACTCATGAATAAAATGTGAGCAAATTGCCGTTAATGAAAATATTAACGAGAGAGACAAGTAAAAAAAAAAAAAAAACAAAAAAAAAAAAAAAAAAAAAAAAAGCTACTTTTTGGGAATGTTTGAAAAAAAAAACAAGAATAGAGCAATGTGGCGTTTACGTCACCTTATAGAGTGCCTTTAGCACAGTCCCAACCAAAACTTTAAAGAAAAAATTGCGAGCCGTTTTTGAGAAAATGTTGTAAATTGTAAAATTGATAAATTGCATACAAACTAATCAAAATTTCAAAAAAAAAATGTTCATGACCTTGATAAAAGAACAAATCAAGGACAGCAATTTTTTTTTTAAGAAAAATCTGTCTTTAATTTTGTAATTGGAAGATATCCAAAACATTCATACTTTTGAAATTTTCGAAAATTCAGAGTTAACCGTGAAAATCGAACCTATTCTACTTTTATAAATATATGTTACTCCATTCTTACAAGAAATTTAAAGAAAAAATTTCGAGCCGTTTATCAGAAAATTTTGAAAATGTTCGCAGAGCTAAATGTAATGTACCCCCAAATTTTAAAGAATGTTTTTCAAAATCTCAAAGCTTCGACTCGACCCAGATGGACAGGGGTTTCTTCATTTTGGAAAAAATCCTACACACGGTTTAGGCGCTAGTAGTATTCAGACTGACGGACGGAGGGCCGGACAGACGGGCAGACGGATGTTTTGAAAATATCACTTTTTCGGTATCTGGGGACCCCTAAAGGTATTTCCGCTGATATCTCGAAACAGATTTTCCGCAGCATTACATAACTTTCTCTGCACTAACGTATATTTCCTCCGTATCATACTATATATATATATATATATATATATATATATATATATATATATATATATAACACACACACACACATTACGTATACGAAAAAGTAAACAAGTATTTCATGTTACAGTATTTTATTTATATCTTCGTTACTTTTAATAATTTTTGATCTTTGCTTTTAATAAAACGCTTTGAATAATATAAAATGTGTGTGAAAAAGTTTCTTTGTTAACTTGACAACTTGAAATCACTCAAAAAACCCGCGATGTACGAAAAATTGAGCCGAGACCAAATCTTAACAGTTTTGAAGGGGGAATCATTCTATGCTAAAATCAGCACCCTCCCTGCCTCCAGTGGGTGGGGCGGTGGGCAACATTGAAATCTTTAAGGAACCCCCATTTTTTATTTCAGATTCGGATTTTACGGACAAAAATACGTAAGTTTTGTCTGAAACATTTTTTCTGATTTGTGATAGGTGGCGCTGTAATCGCAAAAATTTGATTTCCGATTGGAACAAGAAACACAGGAAGACAGAAGATGAGATGGTGCAGCGAAGTACTGAGAGCAGCAGGAAAGCAGTGGACACGAGCTGCACAGGACAGGTGGTGGTGGAAACAAAGAGCAGAAAGTGTTAAGTAAAGTGCAAAGTGTAAAGTGTAAAGCAGAAAGTGTAATGTGTAACTTGTACTCTGAAGCAGGGAAATAATGCTCAACAACTATCAGAAGTAGCTCATCTGATTTATATTAAGAGCTAACCCTGCTTAGATACAGGCCTTTGTCCGAAAAGGAGTAGTACAGGCTTATTTATTTATTTATTAGAAAACCTGTACCTCATGACACTGACATTCCTATACCAGACCCTCCTTCGAACCTCAAAGTACTGCATTCTGATTCACGTTCAACGCCAGGCGTGTCAGCTGAAGATCCTGATTGGACAAGCTCTGAACACAAACCCAAGCCTTTAATACAAACAGAACTGAACGATTTGATCTGAAATTTAAATATCTCAAAGGATGCTCCTGATGTTTAAGCTTCACGTCTGAAAGTAAGCAATCTTCTAGCTCCAGGATCGTCAGAGCCAGAGAAGACCGCTGGGGTACGAGGAGGGTAAAAGAGGTGGTGGAAATTATCGAACACCCTCATAAACTTAATGCAGACCAAAGCACTTAAAACAGTTCAGCATTTTTTTTTAAAAAAATGTTGCTCATTAAGTAGGTATGCCATCATCTAGGTTAACTCACGATTATCATCATATTGCAGCTAATCCGAATATAATAAGCTCACTGCACTCTTATAGGAAATGTTATGATCTTTTTTGTAAATATTGGCACATACGTTTATAAATTCGTCGACATTGTATACTAAACTTCCTTGCGTGAAATTCATGCGTGGACTGCGTTCTACCGGGACTGTACTATTTAGTCATCCATTTGCTAGAAAAAACTCTTTTATAATGCTCCATTGTGGAAGATGTTTAGAAGAGCTAACAATGCTGTTTGAACTAAATTGCTTGATTCATAAATTTAAATGTAATGAGAAAAACCTAATTATGGACGATTTCAATTGATGTTTCTAATCTATTAATGCGCTAATTATAATTGAGATTTACCTATATTATATTACATGTAAAATAAAAAAAATATTTTTCGGAGCGCGTCCTTGTTGCTTGACTTTTAAGATGTTATCCAGATTTTCAAGCTGTTTTAAAACAAATAAAATTTTTAGCAAACAAAAATAATTTTTTTAAACAAAACAAAACACTCAACGACATCAAATAGACGGCATGCAAATCATCAGAACTGTAAGCTTTAAGGTTTCGACTAACAGGTTATTATCTAATCAAACTTCCGGGAAACCATGCACACTGTTTCTATGAAAAGCATATCTTGTTTTTCTACTTATTTGAAATGATGTTCGGAGTCACAACTAGCGGAGCTACAACAGCACATACTTTCTCGCGTTATTGGAAACAGCTATGCAATATTCAAATATTGCATTTTATACGATACTAACACCTCAGCTAGTTTTAGAAAACGTGCAATTCAACCAAGAAGCGAGCAACGCACTGTTGCCAGCGTAGCGATGCCAAAACAAAGAGATTAGCTTGGCAAATAATATCAATACAGTAATTAGAATATAAGCAATTGACATCAATATAATTACGAAAATTCCGACTACTCACTCCTTAGTTGCCTTTTGTCGTAAGATAACAGTTCCGATAGCGTTTCATCATTTTTACATTCTCTCCTTACGAATTCTTCGTAATAAGAGAAAGTTATGTAATCGTGCGCCGGAAAATGCCAAAATTTCGCCAGAAAAAAAACAACAAAACATTATTGTCACGTTCTGGTAAGGAAAAGTGGATAAATCCGGTTGCTAAATTTATAAAATAGACTCTTCTAACTTGTGATGTAGCCAGAATTCATGTTTTGTTGGTTCTTCATACCGAAACATCGATTGAGGATAATACGTCCGTCTGTGGTCAACGATAGGGCCTAAACTTTCAGCTGATTTTCTTTAAAATTGATATTCCCTGATTGATCTGAACGGTCTGGAGGTTTTGAAAGTTCCTAAGGGATATTTTGATAATTGAATTTTTTTTACATGAACCTTGTCGCGCATTTACCTTGCCCGAGTTCGAACAGTGTGGCGCTTCTGTGGCATAGCGGTATGAGTGCCGACACGTCAGCTCTGAGGATCTGAGTTCGAGTCTTGGGGTGGTACATTAATTTGCAACTTGAAACCACTTTTGCTGGTTTATATAGTACATAATGTAGCAGGGCACTTAGAAATAATGCGAAAAAGTATGTCCTTTGTCAGCACCACTAGTTCTTTTATTCAATAAGCAGGTCAATTGTTTAGGGCGGACATTCTGAGGAGTAATTTGTAAAAAGGAGCTGCGAAATTCATCGCAAAATGGCAAATAGAAGTACTGTATCTCGGTCTAGGAGTTACACCACCACCAATTGGACTGAATAAAACAGTTGTATCTTATCACCATCAACATGTCAACGTTCGACAACAATTAGCTTCCCAAATATCGGTGCCGCATTGTTGTGATGCTTTACAGATTGTTTAAAAAGAAATACATCAATACATTGAGAATACAAATTGAGTTAAAAGTAAAAAAGGCAGAGTGTAAAAATAGTATTAATATTGGCATATTCAATCGTAAATTATGATTAAAATTAAATTAATTATTTTTCATATCAATCATTCAATTTTTCTTGTGGCCCATAGATGGTGTGAT